CAAAGTCCCTAGCCATGGTGACCTCAATTAGACAAATAAATGCAATAATACTTAAAACATTCAAATTGGAATTGGCAATTACACAGAGATAATTAAGGCTTGGTACCATAGGGCTTTTGAAGATCTTCCTGAGATATTTCCAATGAGCCTAAGAACACTGAATTTGGTCAAGTGTGAAGGGATATACAATTTTTAAAAGTTTTCTATAATTTTTGGAATTTATTAACTTGGAATTACACAGTTAGCGTCGCTTTTACACACTAGCGCACTCTAATTGGTCAGCCAATTAATGATGTTGACTATATAACCGCAGGGTTAATCCTAGCCATTGGCTTATTGATCAGATGGATACGATTGAATGACCTCAAAATTGCGGGATCAAATACATCCGTTGATCCAAATCAATGGTCATGATTACATCTTCAATTTCCTACTATTTTTCGAAGCCTTTGAGCTTCTCCAGTGCGATCTGATTAAACCCGCCAATGAATTTGCACTAAACTTCATGGAAAGGATATAAACAGTGTAAACCATCAATCAAATAGTCAAAATTTGGTGGTTTGACAGTTTGCTTCACACTTGAACACTACCCTCAAACTAGGAGCTCGGGAAATGATTCTCACCTCAGAGAAGGCCTCAACGAATTATCTTCTCTCACAGGAGGCTTCAAGAGGGGTTGACGATTGGCCGGAGGTATGACTTTGAGCAGAGGGTGGAGATATTTCACCGAAGTTCACTTAGGGCCATAGCTGGAAGGGGTTGGGAAGCTAGGGAATGCTATGGTATTTATAATGGAGATTTGTGGAAACTTTTTGAAATGTTAAAATGGAATGGGGACGCATGGGTGAGGGAACCATATTCAAATCATTCCTGTGGCCATGGATGGTCGGGATTGATTGGGGGAACCGCTGCATGGCCTCCAAGTGGAAGGGGACATCGTCCTAGAGTCTCATGAGCTTGAACCCAGCGAAACCACGCTCTATAAGCTTTTAAGTTGAGCTCAATTGGGCATGGGGGAGCCCAACTGCTGGAACGAACTCGGGTCAACCCAAACCTGTTCGATTATGGCTAATTTGGGTGCAGCTTGGGTTGAGTCAAGTCATGGGGTTGATATGAAGGATGCATTGGGAAGCTAATGCAAGTGCCAATTGGACCTAATGTGGACTATGGTGGGAGATGGCTCAGGTCAAAGTGTTGAGTCTAGTAATTAGGTTGTTAAGCCTAAGTTAGTGTCCCAAGGCTACCAAGAGGGGGGGGGGGTGAATTGGTAGTTTAAAAATTAAAATTTAAGACCCTTTTTTTTTAATTTTGTAGAAAAAGATTTTTCAACCACAGAGTTTTTTTTTTTAAAACTGAAATAGAAAGTGCGAAAATGTATGATCGTCCTGTACGAACTAGGTTCGTCCAGTACGAACGGTTATTACAAGGTCGAATCTAGAAACTGCTGAAAACTGTCCTAAGTCGGTTAATCGTTTGGACGAAAATTGATTCGTCTAGACGAATTTTTTACAAAGGACAGTTCGTACTGTACGATAATTAATTTCGTCTGGACGAAAATTTTACAGAGAACCAATCGTACTGTACGATAATTAATTTCGTCTGGACGAAAATTTTACAGAGAGCCAATCGTACTGTACGATAATTAATTTCGTCTGGACGAAAATTTTACAGAGAGCCAATCGTACTGTACGATAATTAATTTCGTCTGGACGAAAATTTTACAGAGAGCCAATCGTACTGTACGATAATTAATTTCGTCTGGACGAAAATTTTACAGAGAACTAATCGTACTGTACGATAATTAATTTCGTCTGGACGAAAATTTTACAGAGAGCCAATCGTACTGTACGATAATTAATTTCGTCTGAACAAAAATTTTACAGAGAGCCAATCGTACTGTACGATAATTAATTTCGTCTGGACGAAAATTTTACATAGAGCCAATCGTACTGTACGATAATTAATTTCGTCCTGGATGAATAGAACTTAGAAAATTTTTCGAGCAAGTTCCTATTTGTTCCATATGCTCTATAGGAGATAACTGTCTGATCGTCCAGTACGAACGAAAATCGTCCTGTACGATCAATACAAAATTAATATGATCTCCTTATTTGTGTGTGCATGTTTTTATTCACTCAAGTTACAATCACTCCCTTTCAATTTGATTTCTAAGCAAAGTGCAAGCTTCAAAAATTTCAAGGTATCTCATGCTGATTTTAATTTGAAGTCTTCGTAGTCTGGAGTTCTTTCCCTGAAATGTTAGTACACACAAGAGCAAATACAATTCTTCCAATATTGTTAGGAGATAACTACACATTTGAACAATAATGTTTGAAATCATCAAAACTTTATAAGTTGCCAAAAATGTAATGCATGCAAATAGCAACTATCTTAACACAAAGTGGTTTTGATCACCTTGGGCTAGCCTAGAGGTTGACCAAAGTCAACCAAAGGCTGGGCTGGCTAGGGTGAGTGTGTTGGACCTAGGGCCACCTCTGGAGGCATTGATTTTGCTAGGTGGGGCTTAGGTTGGGAAATGGCTCAGGCCTTAATGGTTTTGATCACTTTGGGTTAGCATAATTCCTAACCCAAGTTGACCCAAGGGTTGGGTCAACTAGGGAAGATGTATTGGGTCAAGGGGGACCTAATACCACCATTGGTGTGATCTAATTGGGCTAGGACTTGAAATTGACTCAAGAGGAACCTCTCTTTGGACACTTGGGTCAAGCCAAATGGCTATCCCAAGTGGGCCCAAGGTTTGGGTCTTCAAGAGGGATCTCTTGACAACCCAATGGGTCACCCCATGTATTTGAATGGGTTTAGAGAGGTATTGGTCAAATGGTTTGAGAAGGTGGGTGTGTATGAAAGGTTTGGTCAAACTTGGTTGACTTAGTCAAGCAAGTTAACCTAAGGTCAATGGTTGGATCCATTGAGATCAAGTGGACCATATAAACTCAATGGAAGTGGTTCCAAGGCAGTCGGAGGTCATTTGGTTGGAAATGGGAGTTTAATAGTCACTTTTGTTCAACCATAGTTGACTAGGTCAACTAGGTCAAACCAAAGTGTGGGTTTGGATTCAATGTATTTCTAAGGACATTTAGGATCCGTTGTGATAGGTTTTGGAAATTGATGAGGGAAGACCATGCTGAATTATAGGGAAAAGACCAAAATTCTCCCTAAAGGGCATTTTGCTCATTTTGACCCTCAATCCAAGGCCAAATTGAATCCAACAAAGTGTAGGTTATTGGTCAAGAAGTCATAATGAAAGCCATGAATATGATCAAGGAGTTTAGGGGAGGTTCCAAGATCAATTTTCACAAGATGGGAAATCTAGTGGCATAGGTTATAAATAACTGAACGTTTTACAGCCTATGAAAATCAATCTGGTTTATGTGGTTAGAGACCTCGAGATGAGCTTAAATTTGGAGGGTTGGCATCAGAGACATGCCTTATCAAAATGCAAGTGATAGACCCTGCGTCAAATGCCAATTTACTGGGTTTCAAGGTGACATAAAAATCACCCAAAAAGGGTTTCAGGACCTAGGTCCTTAACCCTAAGATTTGGCTTGGGATATTGAATTTGGATTGGATTTAGGAGTTGAATGGTAGAACTTGAGCTATCCATACCAATGGAAGCCAAATAGATAATTGAAATTAATTGGACATGGTCGTTGAGCACTCTGTTTTTACTTCCTCCTTGTAGTGACAAGAATCAAAGGTTCGTACTCACTTGCATCAATGTTGTGCTGAGCATGAGGAGGTGGAGGTTCTACCACATGGGATGGGTTGCTTCCAATGGGAGGTGGGGGAGTTGGCTGCTAGGAAGAGCTAAAGGTGGCATGATTTTGCTTCTCCATCAAAATGTGTCGGTAGTAACTTTTGGGGTGGGGCTGGGAGTGAGAGATACCATGTAGGGGACCCTTGTTTGATTGTTACTTAGCTATATTAGGGCAGAGCTCCAACTTGTAGCCAATGTGTTCATAATTAAAGCAAATTTGAGAGATGGCCTCATATTCCCCCTTTTGAAAAATAATACATTTGAACCCCTTAATCTAGAATCCTAGTGCCAACTTATGTGCCGAATCGATCCGCACACAAACTCTAGCATAAGAGCTTTGGCCTCAAGTAGTAGATTGTTCTTTGTGGTTGGTTGTGGTATCTTTTACTATATAGTGTATTATGTAAACAGGGCTAAGCAACCTAGTTTTTCTCTTATTCAATTTTTCATATAAAAAGTATGGTGTTTATGATATTTATTTATGCTTATTGAATCTTTGTTTAAACCTAATATATTAAACACAAAATATATCGTAACAAATTTTCTCACACAAATCAAATATTATTTATAAAAAAAGTACTTAAATGCATATCACCTATTTCTTATGTATTAAATATTAGATAAATACATAAAAAAATATCTAAAAATTATGCATTCCTCCAAAATTCATTAATTTTTAGGTCTACTGCCCTTAGTACACATATGTGATGTGATTTGTATTGTAGCATTTAAATTAAAAATTAACAAAAGTACTATTATGACATTCTACTTAAAATTTTTTAATACATTTTATTTAAAATTTTTTAATTTTCTATAATATGTTATTTATTAGAAAAATTACATATATTTATACTATTTTATATCTAATTTAGTACAAAAATATTAAAGATTTTAATACTTTTTTCCCTTCATAATCATAGAAGGTGTTAGGTGCTCCTAAAAATCAGTCTCTAAATCCATTTTATTTTAATATTTTAATTAATGGGGAATTCAGCAAGTAGCACTAATTGAATAAAAATTCAGATCATAATCTCCTCTAGTTCTGAAAGAAATCTAACCCCACCTAATTAATTAAGATTCTCCTGTTAAAAAAAAACATAAAGAGGAGGGATAAAAGTAGTAAAAAAGAGCAATGGTGGACAAATCGCTTTCATAAGAAGAAAATGAAGAGAAAACTCGAATCCCCGTGGATAGAATAAGATTCTGCCCGACAAGCAAATCTACTAAAAAAGTATTCTACTCCTCGTAATCTTCCCCGACTCAGCGGCCCCCACAATTCAGGCTTGATTCAGCACCATGATGGCTTCTCCACTATTTTTGCTGCTGGCCTTAGCTCTCTACTTCTCTCCATTGAAGAAGCAACAAATTGTTGAACATATTTTGAAGGTTTCTGAAGCAGCAATGGAGAAGATGAAGGGAGAAATAGGAGAGGAGGAGAGGTCCAATTGTGATAATCAAGGAGATGGAAAGCTGAAAGTCAGGATTTTGGTGGTGGATGATTCTCTTCTTGATAGGAAGGTTGTGGAGAGGCTGCTCAATAAGAGTGAGGAAGGCTTTGAAGGTAAGCTTGAAGAGATAACAGTTTGATTTTGAGATTTTGCATTCCATTATGTACTTATATTCAGTATTTCTTTCTTGTATGGTTGGATTGTTGTACACAGTTGTTGTTAATTGAATAAAGGATTTTATTTTTTCTCTCTGTTTTGGAGAAGAATCATGAGATCATTTTGCTTTATATTTGATTGCGCTCGCTGTGTTGGCTTTTTAGTAGATTTGAGATAAATCCTTTTGTAGTATCTGCTTCTGTATGAAAGTTAGCTGACATTGCAACTTCGGTTGATACAGAATTCAGAAAATTATGTTGAATTTGCGTTGATTTGAATGGATGAAAAGATTATTTTTCTATGTATTTGTTTAATGGTTTGGGTTTGCTTCGTTTGTTTCATATTTGTTTTGCTGTGTGTTGAAATATGTTATTTTTGGATGGTGAATAATTGCAACTTTTCTTAAGTGGATTTGTCTGTTCCTTCCTGTTGAATGTTGCAGACTTTTTGCTATAACGTTTAAGATCCATTTCCTTCATTTGAGAAATAGAATTTTAGGGATTAATGATGAACCATTGGCTTAGTAATATTTAAGGGAAGAAGCATACAAGTGTTGATGACTTTCTTACTCCTTGTTAAATCAGATTTCTAGTAAATAATTAAAAGTTTTGTATTAGAAAGCTGCTTTAAGAATCAATAAAAAAGCCGTCTCAAATGAAGACTTAGTTAAATGGAGTCATTAGTCATAATTCAGTATAATGAGGAAAATTTAGGCTTGGTTTGTGACAGCTTCCTTACTAGTTCTTAAAGCATCTTTTCAGTAAAAAAATTTTAATTCTTGTACTAAGAAAGCCGTCCCAAATTAAGCCTTAGTTGATATGTATTTTCTGAACTGTTTATTTAGGTGCCTACAATTTTTCTATATTAACATATTTTAAGTTCTCACTCACTTATGGTATTTTACTAACTTTGTTTCAGTGATTACTGTTGACAATGGAAAGAAGGCAATGGATATTTTGGGCTTAAATGAAGCGGAAACTGAACTAGCTGCAATTAATGTTAGCTCTCTGCTGATTGATTGCAGATTCACCAAGCTTTTTGTTTTATCTTTATTCGCATCTTTGTTCATTTTTCAGTGTTCTATAATTGCATAGCTCTGCCAAGCTATGAAATGAAAAGAAATCTGTTCAGCTATTTATCTCACAATACAGCCAGTGCCATATTGCTAGGGGGTCTAATTTTGGAGAGATTATTACGTGTGGAGTCTGGACGCGGAGTACTGTTTGGTTTTGTAACTGTGAACAGTAAAAGCGCATTATTGTTCGCGTTTTTATGTTCACAGGCATAACACTAAACGGTTCTTTGCGTCCGGACTCCACACGTAATAATTTCTCCTAATTTCGAAAGCCATGGCCGTTAATTTTTTTATTTAAGAAAGCCAGTTTAGTGAAGCTAGAACCTTCCATTTAACAGGAAATTTCTTATCACGCAGAAGTTTATGTTGTTTAGAGCATTAGATTTGTGTGGAGATTAGAGAAATATTAATTATCAGGCATTGCACTCATTTTAAAGCATATCTAAAGACTTTTGATTCCCATCATAACAAAAATTTTTTGTCAAGATATCGTGATAGGATTTTTATCCTATTAAAATGTGTCCATTTTTAGGTCTTCATGTAAGCCGCTTATAGTAAAATGCACTTGCAAGTAGTGACAAGTCTATTTCCCTGATCACCATAGCATATTTCATTCTTTTTTGGTATAATGATTCATATATGCTAGCAAGTATATTTGGGTTTCTTGGCCCACAAGTATTCTTGGAGCATTCTTGATGGTTAAGTTTTGGATTTAACTCTTTTGTAATGTAGTATTCATGATTCTTATGTTTCGTTTGGATAGCTTTCTTGTTGCTTTCTAAAGCAATTTTTTAGCACAATTTTTTTTATACTAAAAATTATTGTACTAGAAAGCTATTTTAGAAAGCAATAATAAAGTTGATTAAAATATTATAGTCTTTCTAAAAATTTTTCATCATATTGTTTGATCAAAATTCTCTTGATATTGTTTGATCTTTTTTCATGTAGGTAATTTGTATTATGATATTCTTTACAAAGCAAATTTCAATTGCAAAAATTTCAAAAAATTGTACTAAAAACAATGGAAAAAAGCGGTTAAAAAGCTGTCTCAAACGAAGCCTAAATCTCCTTTTAATAACTTTGGAAATTCGTTTTTTTTTTCCGAAGATATTTTAAGCTGCTCTATCAACTTATGAACAAGTAATATATGGTGCAGGATCAGAGCATAGACATTGTTCTTACAGACTACTGCATGCCAGGAATGACTGGTTATGATCTCCTGAAGGCTGTCAAAGTATAAAATATTTAAAGAAATTCAATTTCGTTTATTTGTTCTTTATCTTATTATTTAAGCAATTATTTTAGTTTCCCTCTGTATTAAATTTTCAGGGGCAAAGCTTTCGAAAGCCAATTCCTGTAGTGGTAATGTCCTCTGAGAATGAGCCTCAGAGGATTAGCAGGTACTACACTGCTTGTACATAAACTACTTATTCCTAGCAGCAGAAGCTAATAGATTGATTAATACTTGAACTCAGATGCAGAGCAATTGGTGCTGAGGACTTCATCCTAAAGCCTATTCAGATAAAGGATGTGCAGAGGCTGAGAAACTATGCTAAGCCAAACACATCGTCACCCATTGTAGGTTCAAAGAGAAAAATGAAACCACTTGAGCTTGCCACAGAAAGCGGCGGATCGGAGAAGAGACCTCGGCTCGCCGGAGTCGTGGTTGCCTGATTAATCTCTCTATACTTTACAGAACTGAGAGAAACAGTAAGCTATCACTTTTGGCTCTGTTTTATTTCTAATAACTATCTCAGCAGGTGATATTGTCAAAGGTCTGTGGAGTGTTCTCCTTAATCTTTTGTTGTAAGTTTTTAAGGTTATTATTGTTGTATTTGTGGTTGGGATATGGGGTTGTGATTGGGGGATTTTGTGTGAATGTTCTGTCCAATGCTTATAAATGGTGTAGAAAAAAAAATATTTTAAGATGATGGATGATTGTTTTTTGATGCATTGATAAGCTGCTTTTACAGATCTTGATTTCTATGATTTTGTTTGGATTAGCTTTATTTCTGCTTCTTAAAATAGTTTTTTAATAAAAAATTTCTTATGTGATTATTTTTTGCTTGTTTGTATCATATATACCTTTAACGAAATACTTTTATGATAAGTAAAAAATATAAAATAGTTTTATAGATTAATTAAAGTTTTGCTAGCTTGCTTGTTTTATATATCTTAATGATTTCATCATAGTATAAGAAGTTTGTCTTAAGTGTTTAAATCATCTTAATGGTGTATTTGAACCTTAAGAAGATAATTTAATACGTGTACTAATCACCTTTAATTGAGCATTTGGAATGATGGGTAAATTGCTAGGGCCACTAATTGAGTGATGGAAGATGGGGAGGTGGATGATGGTGAACTTGTTAACCATCTAGAGGGCCAAGATGGTGGTTCCATAGCTTGTTCTTAGAGAACTTCAGATAATTAGATTCTAGCTTAGGTTAAAGTGGCTTAGTCCTAGGGTTAGGGCCATGGGTTAGGTTAACTAGTTAGTTAGAGTTAGTCTTAGTCCATAATAAACTATAATATGGGTTAAATTAGTTTGGCTTTGATTTGTCTTTAGGTTCATTTGGGTATGTATAGGTTAAACGTGAGTTTGATTGGGGTCAAAGGCTAGTTAGGGTAATCTAAGAGTTAATTTAACTTAATTAGGCTATTATCATTTTATTGGAGCTTCATGGAAGGTGGATATGTATAAGTTAATTTAACTTAGTTTAACACTGTTGTTGTTAGGTCCTAAATCCTGGATGAGAAAAGTGGAGGTTTGCGTTAGGTAGTCGACATTCAGTGTCAAACTTATTGAATAATCATGATATGAATATGTTAATACATTGTGTTAATGTTAGGGCGTTCCCTGGAAGTGACGTGCTGCATTGCCTGAATAGAGCAACAAGTGTGCAAGGGCCGCTGCACCGGCGCCTAGGTGCAGTGTTAAATAGGTAAGAGTTTCCACATTAAGGATAAATATGGGCAAAGAAACTAGTTAATGAAATTAAAATTATGATAGAAACTTATAATATAGGTTCACTTAGAAGAAAATTAATGAAATTAATAGATATTATGATTCATAAAAAGATAAATATTATGTGCATTCAAGAAACTAAATGGGTTGGAGAGAAGACTAATGAGATTGAAAGTTTATGATTTAAATTATGATATTCGGGTAGGAGTCTTGCTAGAAATGATGTATGTGTGAGTATAAATAAAGATTAAAGGATAATGTAATAAAAAATTTTAGAAATAGAGATAGAATTATAGATTTAAAGATTATTGTTGATGTTAAAATTATTAATATTATAAGTGTTTATACTGCTCAAATAAATTTGGATTTGTATTCAAAATTAAAACTTTAGAATGACTTATATTAAGAAAGGTAAAGTTAGACATAGAAAGATTTGGTTAGAAAATATTAGAAATGATATTTTTTTATTAGATTTAAACGAGATTTTGACTTTTAACATAACACAATGAAGAAAAAGGAATTATGTAGTCAACCCTATATAGTGGGACAAAGGCTTAATGTTGTTGTTGATTGTTGTTGATGGAAGATGGGTAAGGTCCATGCAGTTTGAATGTTTAGATCCTATTGGGTGAAATTATGTCATATTAGACTAACTATGATTTAGGCTAGTCACATTATTAATTTGGATGGAGTTGACTATAATTAAATTGCAGGTGTTGATCTTGTTTTAGGCATCGATTACTTGCATGGCTTTATTGCACATTTTTTAGGGTCAGTTCATCCTTCTGCATGTGTGTTTGATGAAGAGTCAAGTTGCATGTTTTATCTTAATTCATCATTGGTGTTAGTTTTTATTTCTTTTGATCACATATTATTCTTTATTATATAAATTTTAATATATGTGATCGGGCAAATGCCGATTTGATGAGTATTTTACGTGAGTTCACACATTTGAACCTTCCTACGCAAAATCATTTTGTATATAAAATCTTTTGATCAGAACCTCATATTGTAAAATGGATTGCATCGTTTTGTCCGGGTAGTTGAGATGGATCAGATGAGCCCCAATTGTGCTTGAATCGAATTACCTCATATATTTTCATATCTTACCAAATCATGTAAATTTGAATTCAATGGCTGATTTAGTAAGCCAAACTCAATTTGAGCTATTTGATTAAGGGTTTCATTTAATTTCTCCTTAAATGAGGGGGTTAAAGAGGGACGCAACTGTTCATTCACTTAGGATTGAAGCAGCCGCAAGCCTCCTATTGACAAACAACAAAGGAAAAAAGATCTTTCTCATTCTAAAGGAGCTGCAATCCTCATGCCTGGATCACTATCTTGCTCCAGCTCTCTCATAGGGTTTATTTTATAAAGGAAGAGATTAATCGGCAGAATTAGGAAAAGATGTGTGTTTATTAAAAAAAAATAAAATGAGCAAATTCGTCAATTGAAATCGCGCATTCAGAATGCACTAAAAGAAATAGTGCATTCTGAATGCGTCATGTTGTTTAGCACATTCAACTCAAAGAGAGAGAAAATGTTAGTTGGAGAGAGAGACGACGTGAAAGAAGGCGGGAGAAAATAATTCTAAGAAAAACATTAAATTAAACCGGTATAAATACATAATAAATATTAAAATTAAATCTATTTAAGTTTTTTCTTTAGGATTTAAATTAAATTTTAAATTCAAAGAAAAAACATAAAAAATTAATTTTGATAGATATATATAAACATAAAACTATTGTTTATGGTACAGAAGTTCCTATATCAATGGGAAATGCCCTATCTTTTGAGTGCGGTTTGAACTGTTGATTTACGTAATTGGAAGTAACCAATTAGGTTTACGATGAAACTTAGGAATCAGTCACTGGTCCAATCGAAGTACCTCTACGGGATCAACCTGAACAGAAAACTATTGAATAATGGCAGCAAGTTATTGAGTTTAGTAGTTCCTCTCTAGAGATATGGTAATATGGAAAAGTCAAAATTGTTTGAAGCGCACACACAACCAGAAGCACCCCTTGTTTCAAAGAGAAGATGACGGGTTATTCACATTTAATTTGATGGGTCATAGGTGAATTGAAAGCTAAGCAGTGGTAATCATAAAGACAACATAGGGAAAAAATAGAGATGTATACTACGTTGCCCGTAATATGCTGAAGTATCGACGTAATTTCTTAGAGTCATCCGGTCTGAATGCTACATGAAGAACATATGCCGATGACAGAATAGGGAGACCTAGGATGTAGAAGACCATAACTTGAGTAATTCGGCATATTTGGATTCTTATATTTCCACTCATGCTATACTTCATCATACGATATTTTCATATACATCTAGAAAGCCGTATGCTTTGGAAGAAGCTTATATATATAAGATCCATATGTTTAGATTCATATATATTATGAATTTTTAATGTATATATTTGGAAGAAGCCGATTGAAAGTTTTTTTTATAGAATATGCATAAATATATATATATAATAAATATCAAAATTAAGTTTTTTATTTTTTTTCTTGGAATTTAAAATTTAATTTAATTTAGTTTAAATCCAAAAGAAAAAAAAACTTAAATAAATTTAATTTTGATATTTGTTAAGTATTTATAATTATTTTATAAAATTTTATTTAAATTTTTTTCTTAGAATTATTTAAAAAATAATAATAATTTTTTCTCTCTCCAACTCTTTTTTCCTCCCTCCACCGTCTCTTCTCTATCTCTTAGTTGAATGCGTCAAATAAAATGTCATATTCAAAATACACTATTTCTCCTAACACGTTCCGAATGCACTATTTTGTTTGGAGAAATTATTGTGTGTTGAATCCGAATGCATTCGGATTACAATCACCATGTGCTACATCACTACATGCACTGGGCCCCGAAGTGCATCCAATGATGTGGCATACAATGATTGAAATTCGAATGCATTCGAATTCCGCACACAATAATTTCTAGATTTGTTTGAGACATTCACTCATTTTTAATTTTTTTAATAAACATGTTCCTTTTAATTCTATCGATCAATCTGCTCCTTCATTAAATAAACACTCTCCCAAACAATTCCAACTACAACACCGGACTCCCCCCTATCTCTTTAACGATTCTTCTTCTCGTCCGCACACTAATAAACTCATCAGCCAGCCACGATCCAATCGCTTACTCAATCTCACCTAGCCTAACCATCGGCGTGCTCCCGAAGAGTGCATTGCTGAGCACTCAGCGTTCGACCTGCTATTCGCATTCTTCAAGAAAAAGAAAAGAAGGAAGAGGGACAACTGATTTGGTCCTCTCAAATGTGGATTCTCCATGCTACTTGCATGAGTGCTTAGTCACTAGAGAGTATGGATGAACGACCAACATGGAGAGAGTTATGAGAGCTCAAGCTCTCAAGAACAACAACATGAGCTCTTACATCAACATGTTGAAGAAGAAGAGTATGGAGATCAGCTCTGACAATGGCATTATTGAGGAACTAAGGAAGAGAGCTTGTTTCATCATGGAATATTCTTGATGATAAAGAGATGTAAAGTTTAGCATCTTAACTTTGTACGAAGATCTAGCACACAAATAGATAAGAGGTAGGGGTGCAACATTCATAGAGATACCAAAATTTTTATATATAAATCCTAAAAAGGGTGGCTGATTACAAATGATACTCTTCCTTAAAAGAAGATACTGGTTTAATATAGTAAATACACCTTGTATAGAGTGCATTACAACATGGAAATTGTTCTTAAGAAAGTGTTGGCATGTCGATGGGTGACCTTCATGTGAATGGAAGGAGAATATTGTCGAAGGAGGTGAATGTCGTCGACCTGTCAGGAAGGTACATTGTCGAACATCATTGAAGGAGGAAGGAACGTCGTTGACTCGACATGAAGGAATGTTGTCGATGCCTGAAGGAGGAAAAAGGAAAGCCATCGAAGGGATCATAAGCGTGGTTAGGGTAGTTAGCATTTGTGGAAGTACGGTTAGGGCTCTCGGGCGAAAGCAGATTGGAAGGCAGAAGGCGCGGTCAGGGCTCGCGGGTGGAAGAAGAAGTTAGAATGACTTAACAACAAAGCAATTCCAAATCAGGTTTTCTACCTGACCCGAACAAAACCCACATTCAAAATGGGTAAAAAACTGGGAGATGAATTTGACCCTTTCTTCAATCGGGTTGACCCTAATCCAAATAATTTGGGTCGGATTCGAATCGGATATTCATGTCATGTCAATTTTTGACACCCTAAGATTCATCGTCATACCGTTGATTGGACTATTGGATCTATAGGTAGGCGTCAACATAGTGTGCCTTACTGATTTGTGGCCATAAAGGTACATTATTCATGCAAGACATGAGCTCTACCATTGCCTACCCCATATATATGAACACTTTTTTATTTTTTTAATTGATATATATATATATATATATAATTAAAAAAAATAAATAAAGACCTTTCATCCTACACCCCTTGCACTTATAAATAATCCTTTATGGGGAGCTTTTATTTTGTACGGACACCGGACAGGAGAACCGTCCAGTTAAGCACTGGGTACCCAGCAGTATCGAGTGCGGGTACCGAGCTGAGTACCCAACAATGTGGTGATTTGGCTCTTTTTTATTGGTCTCCGAACGCCCTTTGCACTCCGCATAGAATAATAAATCCCTTATGGGTGGGGGAAAAAACATACAATCTCCTATGCCGATCCAAGCCGCCATTTGGAATTGTAGCTTGGAGATTGTTAGCGGAGATGAAATTCTTGTTCTCTTGTGCCCGTCCATCGGACATATGATATTAGTTTCCTTAATCATAGAGCATTTATTGAGATTTTAATGCTCTAATGATGTCAGAATTAAGTGGTCTTGGGCTCGTTGGATTCTTCTCATCGAGCTGCTCGATTCAACTATAATCATGACATATTTAGATGTCATTTGGTCATCCAATTAATGATCTAAAGTATTCAAGTTGGCCTTGATCATTTGATTTGTGCTCATTTGGGCTCGCAGTGGATTGATTTTGGTGTCATTGAGTTTATCTCCCCAAGATTATCAATTTGGCTATAAGCTTGCCAAAATCGGAGTTTGAATGATCCCAAATTTTAATCTTTGAAGCCTCTCACTCATATTTGCATCAAGATTTGTGTCCAATCAAGACTATTTTTGGTTAGTATCAGAGCTGAAACTGTGCAAGTATGATAAGTCTTATGCTTCTCTTTGAGTCTGCGCTATTGATGTTTTTACTAAGGACTTCGTGAAAAGCTTCCGATTCTTCCTTACCATTACTGTATACATCTCTATTTTGGTTTAATTAGCACATTGATTGTTCATTTATTACAACATTTAGTTCATCCTTACTATTCTATTGCTAGCCATCTTCATTTCAGATTTTGTTGAATATATTAAATGATCACACTAATTCTGATTAACGGCTTCTAATAAGAAAAATAATACTTTCTCGAAATAGTGACAAATCTGATTACGGATACTTAATTTCCTTACTATTGAGAGTGGATGAGGAGTTTAAAAAAATAGCATAATTAAAATCTTGTCGTCGGTTGTCATTAATTGCCTTAAAATACAGTTAGGCTTTCAATAAGAAGAAGTAAATTGACAAAGACATGTTCTTGTGAGATAATGATAGCATTTAAATGGATTTATATTCAAGTTTCAATATATGGGCTCAAGCCCTCATTCCCCCCCCCCCCCCCCCAAAAAAAAAAAAAAGAAAATTAATCATATGTAGTGGTTTAAAATTTAATTTTAATTTCAATATATTTGTTGAATAAAAAAATTCAAAAGCACAAAACTTAAATTTTATTTATAAAAAAAATAATAGAATACCAACAAAATTTTAAAAGGAAAATAGTTGAATTATTTGTATTTTCATGATGTATACTCAAATTTGGATTAAGTGATTCCCGCTAATTTAAATGAGATACATATGGCTTATTTTCATTTATACACCATCAGAATCATAACTATTATATTTAAAATTCGAGATGGAGAGTTTCTTGAAATGCAAATTTATGCATTTGTTTCATGTATTATCATGCATGACACTAGCTAGATTTATTTATATATTTTGTATAGCCCTGATTTAAATATCTAAATTAAAATCCTTGACTCCTTAGAATAGAGCTACCCTATCTTGTATGCATATTTAAGATGTTGATTGATTTTTATGATGTTGGTTGTCTACTCTAGGGAGGCATAAGTCTATATTGTACCCCATTCAGTATGTCTTATCTAATCCTTGATAAATTCTAAATATATAATTTCTCCTAAAATAGTAAATCAATTTTTATCTGTTAAACTCAATTTCATAATCAAATATTCATACATTTAAAAAATCTAACCCTCACCAAAGATGAAGGAAAGAGTTTATCCCCCTTGATTAGAAGAATCTAGGAATCCTACTACGCACCAACCCAAGAAGCGAATAAAATAACATCTCTAATCGGGAGTACTCTTAGGCATGTAATTAATTACCAGGGCTTATGTTCGTGGGAAATCGACATCCACATCTAATAAATCTCACTCAAGCTGATGTATCAAATACGTAAAATCTAATGATTATTTAATTTTATATATATATATATATATCCATCAAGATATGTAGACAAAAGCCATAATTTTTATGAATAATCATATGTATGATTCTATCTGCTATTTCATTGGTCTGCTTGCACAGACTATAAGGATATGCAATCATTTTATCCTACGAAATAGTATGATTATAACCTTTGCATTTTAAGCCCCACTTACAGTTCCCTTTCAAAGACCCACAGTATGAACTGATTAGAAAATGTTTGTATATTTAGTTGATCTAATTGGGATAAAATGATATATAAGGTGAAAGGATTAGGCTTGACTTGGATAAGTTGAGTTGTTGGTTATAACTAAGGCTAAGATTGAAATTGATTGATCCAATGGTCAACGATGTTTGAATCAAATATGATTGAGCCATTGTAATAAAATTTAATGAACTGGACCCTTAACAGACCCATCAATTGAAGGTTGTATTTTGGTTAGGCTTAACAAAGAGTTAACTTGTTCAAAATTGAACAAATTAGTAGAATTGAATAAATAATTGAGAGTTTCGGGCACTCTATAACAATATACATGCTCAAATGGGTCAATCCAGGGTCGATCCTTATCAACTTAAGAATGGACGATAAGTTGAAATTGAGATATCATAGGAGAATGGTTATGAATAACCAATAACCCTAGCCTAGTTAATTATACCAATAAATGGAATGTAATGCATTTGTATGAAGCTTCATTAGATGACATGATCATTTAACCTAGGGATCAAGCCATACGTGATTGGACTCAATTAAGTATATTGGTCTTGTATTGAGAATTGCTAACTCAATCATATGAGTGAGAAGCAATTTGAGCTAAAGCTGACCAAAGCATTAGATAGTCATTGGATATTCAAAAATTTATACTTACATACATAAAGTTTTAAGAAATCTCCAATATGTGCTTAAGTAAAAATATAATACTAGTGATGTTGAAGTACTCTATATAATGATATAATATGAAGAACCATAATTAAGGCCATCAACCATATTAGAGAATTACATTAAGTTTCTACTGTTCGATTATATATTATATTTTTCCTTCTAAGCCAACTATCTCAAAAAGAGCATCACTAATATGAACAATAGAATCACATTATGGTACAAATGAACAACATATGTATTGGTATTTAATGAGTGATAAGAAGTCATTGAATTAAGCTACTTCTTATAGGTGAGTTAGGTCAAAGATTGAGATATAAGAATATGAAGACATGATCATAATGAGCAATTTTAAAGGTTCAACTATGTAGCATATGTTCCCTTTATGGTATGAATGCGTTTTAACTATAAGATTTTTTAATTTGGCAAATTTTGTTTCTCTCTTATAAAAAGGCATAAGTATCAGGGAAGAAAAGGTTTTTATAAGAATATTATTGAGTTCATACATCGTAAGCATCTTTCTTTTTGAAGTACCGAAATATTTTACATTAAGAAGTTTCTACATTTTATCCCACTAGGTGCAAGACATGATTGGATTGATTGTTACATAAGGTTATAAAATGATATGCTCATCAAATGGCAGTGAATAATTACTTTTAAAGAATTAAAAAAAAAAAACATTTAGGTAACACCATAATTATTTATGTATAAGAATAAATTGTGTGTGGATCTTGGCTAAATTTAATGGTGTTAATAATAGAATGTTATATGGTGGCATGTGAAAGATCTAAAAGGATATGCTGATGAATATCCATAACTTTAAAAGTTCTGCAATCATTCAATGATGTGGCTAAATAGATTATGCATATTCCACTAGTTTTTGAACTTAAAGTGACAAAATATGCCTAGCAATCATAAACTATTGGGTGCTACAAGTTCAAAGGATGACGAACATTATAAGATTGCCAACTGATAAATACCAAAACATTTGAGTGTCATTAGACCTTAAAGAAATATTTTGTATATATATGACAGGTATAAAATATGAATATCTGGTATCATATAAAAGAAGTACTAGTGGTCCAAAGCTTTGCATGCACATTTATGTCTAAGATTGAGTGCATAAAAATAAGATGCTAATTTGGAAGAACTCCCTCAAGCAATTAGCATGTTCTTTCACCATTATATTTGAGTGAAGTATTAGAGTCTAAAATTTACACCCAATTATATAAATAGTAAAAATATGATACTTGCATGTAATTTATATGTAGACTAATGCTAGGAAAGCAAAATTTCTCCATGTCCCCTCTCCCAATATAGATGAACATTATAAAAATAGGATAATCCTTTGATTGTGAGCCATTCAGTAAGGACAATTCAGGAGGATGTCGGACAGCTCCGCAAAGCCCAGACTTCCATGGACGCTGCGTCTTACTATCGCCCTCTTCTCCGCCATCACCGAGGCCTCCAGACGCGCCGACGGCACCATCAACCGCCGTCTCCTCTCCTTCGTCGATCTCCGAGCCGCCCCCAACCCCATCCCGCAACGCGGCGTCCACACTCTCGATCTCACCGTCGACCCCAACCGAAACCTCTGGATTCGCCTCTTCCTCCCCACGGCCGACAGCCGCCGCCACCACCTTCCACTCGTCGTCTTCTTCCACGGCGGCGGCTTCGCATACCTCTCCGCTGACAACCGCAGCTACGACCTCCTCTGCCGACGCCTCGCCTGCAAGATCCCTGCCGTCATCGTCTCCGTCAACTACCGCCTCTCTCCTGAGCACCGCTTTCCCGCCCCCTACGAAGATGGCGCGGATGTCCTCCACTTCATCGATTCAGGCGGCATCGATAAAGCAGCAGGCCATCTTTCCGACCCCTCATTCTGCTTCCTCGCCGGAGACAGCGCCGGCGCCAACATAGTCCACCACGTTGCCCGCCGGTGGGCTGCAGCCGCTAGCGTCGGCGGATTCAAGAAATTAAAGCTATTAGGCATTGTCCAGATCCAGCCCTTTTACGGAGGGGAGGAAAGGACGGAATCGGAGATCCGGCTCACTGGAGCGCCTATTATATCGACGAAGGGAACGGATTGGCTCTGGAGAGCGTTTTTGCCTGCGGGAGAGGATAGGGATCATGAGGCGGTCAATGTATTGGGACCGAAGGATAGGACGGAGATCGAGGAGAAGTTTCCGCCGGCCATGGTGGTGGTCGGCGGCTTCGACCCGCTGAAGGATTGGCAGCGGCTGTACTGCGAGCGGCTTAGGGCGAGGGGGAAGGAGGTGACGGTCTTGGAGTTCCCGGAGGCTATTCACAGCTTCTATATATTTCCGGGGATAGCTGAAAGCGGGAAGCTGGTTGAGGAGATGGGGAAGTTCGTGTGGAGTAAGTGTGAGCAAGTAGTTACGGCTGCAAAAGAAATGAGTGGAGCAGAACAGGAGGTTGTTTTGACTCATGCAAGATGAATAAATCGACCAAGTTCAATGTTGATGAATGTCTCTACATTTCTTAAGATTCAATATCCAAATAAATTATTCTGTGAGGAGTTTGGACAGAGAAAATTGTTGTAATATGAGTGTACATATTGTATACAAAAATTTATTACACGTTATAAATTTGTACACAATGTGTACGCTCACATGTTCAAACGAATCTTTCCGTCCAAACTCCGCAAAAAATAACTTCTCCCATTTCCTTGTAATGTGGATGAATGTCTCTTCATTTCTTTATGTATTTAATGGAAGAGAAAATTATATCAATATGAAAAGAAATATTGTTATGTAATAAGATGAAAATATTTTGTCGAATATGAATTTAATTTCATATGTTTTTTTAATATCTCCTCAGTATAATAAAATTTAATAAATAAATAAAATAAAATTATTAGACAATATAATTAAATTATTATACATTCATAAAAATAATATAATTAAATTATGTAGTACAATAATTTATTTACATGTAGTAGTATTATTTAATAATTTATTTCTATTAAAAGATAATATTGGCATGTTAAATGGTTTTAAGATAATATAATTTTTTGTCTAATATTGTACCACGCACTCTTCTCCAATATTATTTAGTGCAAGAACTTGACAATTGCTCATACACCTTATGGCCTCACACATGAATAATTAGTAGGTCCGGACACTGGACGTAGCTCTACATCCGGAGGCCATACATGTCGCCATGTGCTCTTACTCTTTACCGCGCGGCCCGACGACCCGACCTGGACGGAACCCGGAATTACTATGTTTAGGCATTCCTCGGTATTGCTAGGTATTGCTAGGTATTGTTATCTATTGCTTGACAATAATGAGAAATACAACTATGTTAAGACCAATACCTAGCAATACCGAGCAATACCTAGCAAAATCGGAATATTGCTCGGTATTACTCGATATTGCTAGGTATTGGTCTTGACAGAATGATATTTCTCGTTATTGCTGAGAAATATCGAGCGATACCTAGCAATACCGCGGTCTGCACAAATCAGCCAATACATGGCAATCCCAGGTCCGGTCCGGGTCGGGTCGTCGGGCTGCGCGGTAAAGAGTAAGAACACGTGGCACAATTTTACTGGCGTCCGAATGTAGAGCTACGTAAGGACGCCGTACCTAATAAAAATTCCCTTCACACATATGCTTTGAACACAAGCTTTCATATAAAGATACACTTCCAAGTAAAATATGCTTCGTGCATGTTAGACATTACCTAGTCGGCGCCCTTCATTTTGGACATTTAGGTCGCAGTTCGCGTAGCCCCATGACTTCGCTGTAAGTCTCACCATACATCATCCACTTTATGTAGGCAATAATAACCTAAAACTTTGCCTGATTTGGTTCCTTTGTCAAATATTCTTAATATGCACTTTGCAAAAAGCATTTTGAAATAGGGGCTGCTTGGTTTACTAAAAAAAGAATGCAATGTAAAATTAATGTAATGTAGTGTATTTCAAATATTTTGAAATTATTTGAATGAGTGTAAAATAAATGTGGAGAAATTTTTTTTATTTGACTTGGAAAAAATGAATGCTGTGTAAAGTTCAAAGATAGGGTGGTCAATGGCGTTGGCAGGCAGGTGTGGCGGCTAGCAGCGGTGGTTGGCGAAGGCAGTTGATAGTGGTGCCAGCTGTGACCATTTGTGGTGGTGACGGCAACAGACGGCCAATGGTGGTGGGATGGTGGCAGGTAATGAAGCTGTAGTGTATTTGGAAAATTTTCAAATAAAATGAATATCAAATACACCAAAACTTTACAATGTTTGATTTACTTCAAATCAAGCATTAATATTAATTCTTCATACCCTTACACTTATAATACATTAAACCAAACATCCCCAGTAAAACATTTCCTCCTAAAATCTTAGGTAATTTCAAAATCATTTAAATTGATATGAGTATTTAAATGTGATATATTTGTAAATATCAAAAAATTATTAATGATAAAATTTGTTGCTCGAACCTTTCGAACTTGCTAGTCCAATCCATTTTTTAGTCAGGGTTTAGCTTATTTCTCACATAGTATTTTCTACTTTAGACCATAAAATTTTTAGGTACCTTTATTCACTAAGTATTGTTCTTAACATATCTAATAGAGCTCTATTCTTTTCTTTTAACTGCATCATTCTATAGCAGTGTTCTAGGTGTAAATAAGCTACGTCAAATCCCAACTTTATTAAAAATGATATCAAAATGTTCACGTGGTCATTTCTTTTAGATATAATAAATAGACCCTTTTCTCTTTGAATCCACTTGACAAATTTAAAAAAAAAAAACTCAAAAATTACATCTCTTACTAGCTAAAATACTGCCCAAGTGAATCTAACAAATTTACAATCATCAACAATGACAAATCCATACTTCTTTCCTCTTAGAGTAGTAGGTGTAGCAAGGCCAAATACATCCATAAGTAATAGCTCCAAAGGTCTAGAAGTAAAAATTTAATATTTTGAGTTAAAAGATTATGAATATGTTTTCTTAGCTAATAATCACATGATTGGTCCTTAGAATAATCAGCTTAGGTAATCCTACAAACAAGTCTTGTTTAGATAGTTTGGATAAAGTATGCATGCTTGCATGAAAGAAATGCATATGTCAAAATCATGGATGATCATAATAAGCTTTCAAATATTTCAAACTTGTAGACATCAAACAATTCAATTCAAACAAATATATATTATTGTAACCATGATCAATAAAAAAACTTCACCATATAAATTGATTAAATAATTAGTAAATGAAAACTAAACATCATAATCATTTTTACATAACTAGCTGGTATGAATTAGATTATGCTTCAATCCATCAACCAACAAAGCCTTCTTAATGGGCTAGGAGACATAGCCAATAATGCCAACTCTAATAAGCATAATAGCCATCCCTTGCTTCCAATGAAATGAACATTGACAATCTCCTCTCATGGTTCATGAGCATACACTAAGTAACATCTTCCTTGAGTGGTCTTAGAGTGAAAGTGTAACAACATAAAAAATTAATTTGTTAACTTGGGAGGGTCAACAGGTGGATTGAATAGAACACTCAAATAGTGTAGGAGGGGATCTAGCAACATGTGCATATGTAAGCCAAGGAATTCAAATATATTAAGATAGTTTATGTTTAATTCTACCCTTAGAGTTTCTTGAGATGTGTACCAAGCTACCATATGTTGTGCACCTAATTTTTGTGTGCACATATGATATATGGTGTACAAACTTTCTAATGTTAGATAAATCATAAGATGCATCACACTAATATTTTTCCAAAAAATAATAAATAATAAATAAATAAATTTCAACTTTGGATTTTCAAATAAAATTCTCTCAAAATAATTTATAACATAAAGAAGTCTTAGCTAATAAATCTTCTTTTTTTCTTTCTAGAACATTTTAATTTAGATTGAAATTCAATGAAATGTGAGTCTAAATTAGTATAATCTTTTTTAAGGCATAATATTTCTTTTTTTAATTAAATAGAATACCATTCATTTCAAGCCAAGTATCATATAAATCATCATAAGTTATTCTTTCATTAAACATTTAAACTCAATGGAGGGCTCATTAGTGACCGTCAAACATAGATTTTCCTCATCTAAGTCAAATGATTATATAGATGTTTTTTCTTTATTATCAGAATCTACCGAAGCGATCTTCAATGTCATCTTGCTCTTTTATATGGTATGCTTATCTTTTATTTGACTTTTTTTTTCAAAGCTCATTCAAATTTGAAGTGGCCAAGTTTATTGCATTCAAAGAAAAATGGATTCTCCTGCCTTTGACCAACAAGATTAGTTTAAATATATCTATTTTAAATCTTTACAAGTTTTCATACCCTTACCATTATAAATTTTTTTTTGCACATCCTTCATAGTTGTCAAATTTCTTGTGCCAAATCATCACTATCTAAGGTGATGAACAACTATCGTTCAAATCATGGCATTTAAGAGCTACATTATATGAATTTTTCTTTAAATTTTCTTCTTCATCATCTCTCGATCTAACCTTATGTTCGTGTACTACAAAAGAGCTATGCATGTGCTTAATAGTTATGAACTTAAATCTATAACTTCAGAAATAACTATTACTTTAGGGTCGAAATCTTTTTATAAAGAATGCATGATTTTCTTTACCTATTCTTGACATTTATGTATCTTATTGAGTACGTTGAGACCATTTAAAATCTTTGTTAAGTGTCTAAAATTTTCCAAAATTGTTTGCCTTGATTCATTTTGAGAAGTTTATAATACTTCATTAAGATGTTAATCCTTATTTCTCTTTCATCATTCATGTAATACCCCAAGATCTAAAGTGAAATAATTTCTTTTCTTTACTCTTAGAAAAATATAAAAACAATCAGAGAAGAAATAAAGTCACAAAGAAAAATAGGTTCTCACACATGGATATTCCATTAGCGTAAAGAAGGAAAGTACATCAAATACCAAAATGTTGAAGGATTTCATCAATGCAAGCAAGCAAGGTTTATCTTTCACTTAGATATGAGTTTTCCCTTGAAATATTTTCGAGAGAAAGTAGACTTTTGGTTAAAATTGAATAAGAGCTCTAGGATATATATATAAGCATTATTTTTTGACCTAGGGCTTAAGTAGCTACTTATATTAGAGACCTATTGATTCAAAAAGTTAATTAAAAAAATAATATAATATTCTTTCAACTTTTTTATAGCAATAAAATGTTCAAAACTAGCTTGTTTTTCACCCTAGATTTGATCCTAATTAAATGGATAGAAAACTTCATTAAAATTTTCTAGATTTTTACATTTGTGATGGCCACAAATCTTTACATGTACCCGTTGCATAGTTTATAGAGACTCACAAAACTTGTTGAAGATCTACCTAACTTATTTTTTTTCATCGAACTTGACATTCTATATCTACATGGAGCAACACAATGCTTAATGTAGGTTAACAAACACTTTTTGGAGACCATGTTTTTGCAGAAGCCTGTAAACCCTGATTAATCTATATATCATTTTCTTAACTAGGGTCAAGACTTTATTCAAAATATTATGACTTAAAAAAATATTTAATAATATTACTAAGGTGAGATCCATATTTAGTTATTGGGAATAGTTTAGACCTCACTCGATTGCATGTGTTGTGTGTCTTTGATATTTTTATTTTGAGGTACTCTTACAAACAATATACACAACATTTTATACTCTAATGAACTTATCTTCATGTGCTTGAATCATTTTAATAATGTACCTATTTTTTGTACACACTTCATTTGGAATCATAAGTACTAATTATTTAGTGTAATTTGAGATC